AAAAAAAAAAAAAAGAATAAATAAGGAAATAAATAAATTATTAGAGAAGAAGAAGAATCCTTCTTCTTTTTTTTTTTTTTCTTCCTTGCCTCCGGTTTACTTTTGTTTTCTTTTTTCTTTTTGTACTTTTAGACTTAATCAAAAAAAAAACAATAGTGAGAAAATAAATAAATAAATAAATGAATAAATAAATAAAGAGGGAAAAAACAAAAGCAACAAAAATAGAAGCAAAAAAAAAAAAACCAGCCTTAAGTTGTATGGAACCAGTTGACGCACTTATGGAAGGGGCGATGAGTCGTAAAAGCTTTTGAAAAACGATTTGTATTATATAAATTATTTTCACGACTCCGCCTACCCAGTTGTCACCGAATAGTTGCCCGATCACTGATTGGCGCATTAGTGGCGTAAACTCCGCCCAATTTTGACAGCTTGCCCAATGGAAAACCGATAGAAAATGTGTTTTCTGCTGGTTTGCTCAGGGTTTTTGGTCCCGGTGCCCAGTGGTTGGTGATTTGTCGTTGCCAGTTATATATGTGTATATTTGTTGGGGTGTTCTGTGGTGTATCAGTATTTGATTTGTGAGGAAAGAAGAAAAAAAAAAAAAAAGAAAAAGAAAAAAAAACGTGGAGGAGGAGGAAGAGGAGTAGAAAAAAATTGTTTTTTGTTCTGTTTTACTTTTTTGCTTCTTAATTCTAAACAAGCCTTTTTTTTTTTCACTTTTTTGTTTATTTAACTTTGTTTTTCTTTCTTTGCATTATAATTTTCAGACTTTTGTAAAAAAAGTTCTATTTACTTATGTTTTCACTTTAAATTTTTTCTCTTTTCTTTTTTCTTTTTTTTTTTTTGGACTTATTTTTCAAAATTATAATTTGTTAACATCAAAAATAATAGGAAAACAAAGGAGGGGGGAAAAAAAAAGAAAAACAAAGGGGTAGAAAGGAAGCAAAAAAGTTGTTATGGCAAAACGAAGCTTGGAAATGAAACGAGATTCGTCGACTGGTGGTGTTGATATAGCATTGGATTTGGTTTCACCAAAACGTTTTAAATTTATGATTGATCATTTGTTGGATGATGATGAGCCAAAAACTTCAACGTCACCAACCATATCGCCAACTGAATTTACCGCTGATACTACAACACCGCCACCATTATCATCAAAATCACAACTATCATCATCACTGTTATTCCCACCGCCACCACCACCATCTTCATCATTACTACCAGTTTCATTACAGTCATCTTCATCATCGTCATCGTCATCATCGTCATCGTCATCAACAACAATATCATCATCATCATCATCATCGTTATCAACAACGGTAACAGCAACAGCAACAACAACTGTAACAGCAACAGCAACATCAGCGATTGCTGTTAGTGATTTGGAACCTAAAGAAGGTGCAAGTACAGATGTGGTTGTGGCTGTTGATACGTTACCAAAAAATTTACCTCTACCCGGTAATTCACCATTGCTACGACATGTTGAATGCCGTTTGGAAGGCAAAGATTTATGGAATAAATTTTTTGAACTTAGCACTGAAATGATTATAACAAAAAG